TGTGTAGCTTCACAGCCCATATGCGGTATCTGCACGTCCGCGGAGTAGAAAGGAAATGAGTGTTCGTGGATGAAATCGGGCGTGACGTCATCCATGTTGTGAAGTTGGTTAGAGTAGGCTGCGGCCATTACTGCCGTTCCAGTACCCCGCGACTCGCTCTCCGTTCTCCAACTGAGGTCCATTTTGGAGGAAGCGGAGATCAACTTGGGGTTCGTCGAATCGCTGACCGCTGAGTCAACTGAAACGTGGCCCAATCGGTTTAGCATAAGCGGTGACGACCTTGAACGAGGACAGAGGTAAATTGCTAGCTAAAGTAGCATCACTGCAGGAGCAACCGGATGGATACCTGTTAAAAGGGAGGCAGGACGAACAATTCGACAGCGATCGCGAAGAGAAAAAAGGTAGAGTGCACTCTTTGAAAAAGCCTAGTCGCCTGGTTGTTTCTTCACATCTTAAAGAATTTTCCCAGTTTCTCCCAATGTGTCGGAGGACGCGACGAAAACCAGAATGTATTAGAACAGAACGAATATCAGATTATTAGTAGAACTAGCACAACGGACGATAGACGAAGTAGGAGAGTGGCTTGGCGTATACCGAAACAAGAGGGAGAGGCGGTAGGTTTAAGGAATTTGAAGACAAGCTGAATCAACTGTTTTTCGGGGGCTTTTATAGCGTTTCTCCCGCGCGACCTGCGGTGGTCAGTGCTGACCACCCAGACCGCGCCATTGCATCTCGATCTATTCCCGCATTCTTTGGCCACCCGCCAATCGTGACCCACCGCCGCCCTCACAGGTCTACGAACGAATCGCTCAGGGCGACACCAGAGCCGGCCCATAAAACACGACGATATCGACGGCCCAATGACGGCAAACCAGCAGGGTAATGGTTGCAGGTAAAAAAAAAGCCTTGCCCCAATCCGCGAGGGGTCGAGGATGGAAGAACTGAGACCGATTAGCACACATTAACAAACTGCCTATAACCGTCGCACTGCAAGCTACCGAAATCGCTTGTCAGACGATGCTTTGTCACAGGAAGCCGGGAAGTCCCAAGTTGCGGAGAAGCTGGCGAACGAAAGGGGCCCCGTTAAGGTGAACCCGAGGTTGCCAGACGAGAAGAACGCGATACCACCTGTACCGAGGTCATGGTTGACGTCGGGTGGAGAAGGCGATCAGCTGTGGCTGGATCAAAAGTTGTTCCATAGTTGATGCTTTGCCCAGCCCTTCTTCAAGAAATACGCGGTTATCAGACCATGACCTCGGTACAGGTGGTGACGAAACGGCGAATGTCTCCCGTAGACAGCAAATGAATTCCCCAAGAACCCGTCTCATGTGAGTGGAAGGGTTCTGGCCAGAGGTGGCAGCCCGAGCCAGGTTGAGTACCCTCGTAGCAAGCGACGTGGCACTGAACCTGGTTTCAGAGTCATGCGAATCCCGCGTGACACATATGGTGTGTCATACTTTTTTCTCACTGCGCCTTTCATACGGTGTATTTGGCACCTTATTCATGCTTCAAAATTGTCAGAACATGTTTTTTAGGCATACAATATGCATAACTCATAGAAAGGTAAAAGAAACCGATGAAATGGCTGATTATCGGTTTCAAAAGTACTGAAACGAAATTATGTGTAGATCCTCGAACAGTGGCAGTCCGGAATGTGTTAGAGACTATTCGCGATCAAATGTTACGAGTAGGCGGCGTTTAATTATGAATCCGCAGCCGATAAGTGACTTTCTAGTAGAGGAGGGAGCACAAAACACATTGAGAACTTACACTCATTGTACGAGTTTTTCAGAAATGGTGGTGACTCGGCACCCTGTGGCCTTTGTGCAAACCCTAGCTCACAAATCGTTTTTTTTTCGCGTCAAAATAGAAAGAAAACCAAAACTCAGGTTTTGGGAAGTGAAGCCCGTGCCCATTACTGTTTACGGCGCAAAAAATTTGACCACGCTAAGCTCCAGGCTCTAACGTGGCACCCTCAGCATTGGTACTGTTTGAAATCGTTCAAACCTCTCACCCCACGTCGCGTTGAGGCTGCGGATAGGATTCGTGAGGGCTGCTCAACTTAAAGCCACAAATTAAGACACGTGGGTGGTTTTATTCAAATAAAAGGAAGAGTAAGACAGATAAAAAAAAGCAGTATTTCGTCTTTAAGTTGAGTGGTCGCCTACTTAACTTGAAGCCAAAATATTACTTTCATACTTACATACATACAAACCGGCACACCAAGTTAGTGGTCTATAGAATGAAAAGGATTTCACTTATCACAGGTGAGTTGGCTCGCTACTGGAAAGAAATCTATTATTACGACAATTCCTAAGGAACCCTGTGCCTCAGTACCCAGTCAGTTCAGACCAGTTAGAATCACACCATCCTCTTGCAAGGTGATGGGAAAAAAAATCATAGAATCCTGATTCCCAGCGGGGTGTGATAAATATCACATTATTTTTTCGCGATCAGTTCGGTTTTTGTAAAAAAAAACTCACCCACATGTTTACCACTATTATAGTGTAAGCACAAGTAGGCTACTACTTTAAGTTCGCAAAGAAAGCATAATATACTTCGAGTTGAGTGAGCCCTTCGATAAAGTGGTTCATGTTAAGCTTCTCAACAAGCAAGAAAGTTTTTGTATAAAAGGTGCCTTTTGAACTGGCTAAAGTCCTACCTTTTGGGGAGATGTTCCACTGTGAATTTTCAGAGAACTTTTTCATGCCGGTATCACTGCACTTTCGGAGTTCCCCAAGGGGGAGTTCTTTCTCCGCTTTTGTTTATTATTTGAACTATTGACCTTCCATCAGCCTTCATGTTCGGTAAAGAGATCGAGTTTTACGCCTCTGCTGACGATATCAAAGCTTTCTCATGCTCTCAATCTAGTGACTTTTCTAATATGAGTGCTCGTATGAATGGAATTGTGTCTGCATTCACTAGAGAACGGGGTTTTTGATAGAACGTGCGTTCTAACAATGAATGAAAGGGCATTTGAACTCTCCTCAACAAATATTTCCTCGCCAGCTATCGCAGTTCAAACATGTACCTTGCTGTGCTACACGTGCCTTTCGCTATCTTTATAACCTTCACAGGATTGTCAGAACTCCTGATGTAATGTTCTTATTAAGCTGTATAAATCATACGTGCATCCCATTTTGGAGTACTGTTCCCAAGTGTGGAGCCCACAAGTAAAAAAACTTATTTCAAAACTTGTGAAAGTACAGATGGCTTTCACAAAACTGGTCTATTTTCTTGCATTAAAAGGCAGCTGGCACGATAAATCCCCCAAGACGAGCAGGTATAATACGCCTGGCAGGACAAAATCTCGCGACTCTGAGCAGGCGCTGCATAGCGCCTTTTCCAAGGGAGGTGCCCTTATAAGGGCCCTATCAAGCCACAACATACCGACCCGAACGCCCACCACGCCCGCCCGCCCACAAATGGACGACTGTTATGATGTTCGTATTGATTCATCTGCTGAGCAAATTATGAGGCGAAGGGATTGGTTTGAAGCGGCGGTGATGCTGAATGGATATATGAGTACACATATGCAGGCGCACCTTCGGTAGCGCTTGATGGCGAGATGTCTACGGGAAACTCGTCTGAAATTGATTTTGATGTCATAGAGGCCGGAGGCTTTCTCTTTCGCAGGATTTTGACCGTTTCACTCCGTTCTTTCGCCATTTCCCCACTATATAGAGGCCTACTAGCATTTAGGTCGAGTACCAAATCATTGTGCCAACTGCCTCTAATGATCCAACCTATACTCGATCCTTGCTGTCTTATAGTATACGCCTTAGAGAGCTTCGCATGAAAAGCCTTCTCTATAGGCGAACTCAGCTGAATTAGTGCTTGCTTTGAGAACACTGAAAGGTGAGACTTGTCTCAGAAGTTCGACTTCTTGGTGTTTCAAGCCGTCGTTTTTGAGAAGGCCGTCCTACAACATCTCTGCTTCCAGATCTTTTTGTAGCGTTGGTTACCAAAAAAACTTCCAGAAATTCGTGTTTTTCTATAGGACGTCCATCTGGCTCAACGAGCTGCCCATTAATATCATTCAACAAGAGAATACTTCTCGTTTCAGAACAGCCCTTAGGAAAATAAACTTCATGAATTTGCGTCATTAGCGAACTTTAGAAAAAACGTTAGTTTTAGTGCAGTCACAATAAATGCAGACTCATCTAGTTTTCGTCTTTCGTTCACACCACATCGCCTCCACATCACCTCTCTTCTGTCACCTCTCACCCATATCCTACCCCTTGATTCACACTCTTCAAGCTCACGATGTTGCCAGTGTTCCTGGTTTACAGGATTGTCTCGGGGACTTTGTTCTTATGCCTTGCCACAAGCACTTAATGGCGCTGACACTTATCCTTCTCTGCTACAAGAGCTAGGGTGAAGTCCAATTTTTTCTATTCTGAACCTGGAAGGATTCCGAATAGTGAGGGAAGAGCTGCAGGATCTCTGCGAAGAACCTCGTTCAGGGAAGGACATCCCCGTAATGAGTTGATGCGTAGAAGACTATTCGGAGTTCTGTAGTTGACTTGTTAGGTGCCACTAGCGCCTGATGTGGAAGGTAGTGTATTCTGGTATTTGGGATGCAGTTTTTTGTCGGTACGTCTTCAAATATATTTGAGTGTATTTGCTCCTGGAATACGCCATGTTAACGCCAAAAAGATTTTGATCCTCCTGCAGTGATCTCCATACGCTATGAAGACGGCGTACGGCAGCAGCGTGACTGTCCGGTAGTTTCGCGTGGTCGTCTTTCCATGGAGGCTTCACGTAATAACTGTCTTCTCCGCGTTCTGTTGTACGGCTGAAGTCGCCCCAAACCCCTTTATCCAGACGAATTCCTCTTCCTCCTCTGAGTTTCCGTACTCGTGGATGCCCATTAATTCTAGCTGCCATTACTTTCACCATCTGTATTCGTCATCCTCCTCGTCTGAAGGCTCGTTATACACGTGGAATTATTTATTTGGGGTTCTAGAGACCAATACTTGCCCTATCTAATGAGTTCTTCAGATACGTTGTTGGAACGTACGTGAAAAACATGCTTTGGTGACTTGAGCTAAAACTTGAGCACCAAAAATATAGCCCAACGTGGTTGGCAAAACGTGAAGGTCTGGTGGAAGTTGGACTTGTGGGCACTCGTTTCGTGAAAACTGCCATACTTCGTCAGATCCATTCAGGATACTGGGCATCACTCGCCGTGCTCTAATTGTTGCTGCGTATTTATGATTGGAGAACCTCACTGTCCTCTTTTGAAAGACATGGAACCGCAAATCTTTCGTGAAGATATTACTCGTTAGCAGATTCAGCGCATGGAGTCATCCGTTAATATCCCACGCTGGTAGCTGAAATCTACGTCACCGCGTCTTTTGCACTTCTCTTGAGCCGAACGTTTAGTAGCACAACTGTTTTTCTTCAGTTTTCGGCAGGCTTAATTCATGATAAGGCAGTTTCGCTCGAGGACATCTCAGTTCGTGTATCCAATAGCTCTTGGACTCTTCAGAGGTTCATTAGTTTTGGATCGGCTACTGACACCTCGCTGATAGAGAGAAACCTCTTCGAAGGAATCGACGCGTCACTCGAGAGTTGTTACTTAGAGCGATTCCATCATTCTGATCATCCATTGCTGGGGCTTCATCGTCTTCTGAACGTGACTTATCACGCCACCAGGTTAACTTTGGTCACGGTCTCGGTTTGCTTCTTCTGAGACCTTTGGTCAAATCGTTGTAAAGTTTGCTGAGAGTTTCCTTTAGTGGAATGCACAGAGGATGTGTTTGAATTCAGATTCAAAACAACAGGTGGTTGTGTGGTGCGGACCTTGGCACCGGATAAAAGGTTGCCTGCTGCAGTCTGCTGCTGCATGGTGAACCGATGGCACACGTTCCTTTCTCGCTGGTATTGTGCTCGTTCTTGCGGAGTTCTGAATTTTACGCGTTCTGCTGATCTGTAGCCTCCTTTGCAATAAATGCATGGTAGAATTTCGCGAGACCGTGCTGCTTTCTGCATATGCATCCCAGGTAAGTCGTCTCTCGTTGTTCATGTAGATACACTTGAATCAGCTGCTCACCGAAAGGTAAATCTTCTATGAAATCAAAAAAAACCTTGCATAAGAACTGGTTGGACATTTCAGAGAGTAGAACGTTTTTTCGCGAGGATTTTTCTCTAAAATCTCTCGGAAATTTCGACAATATCCTCTTCACTGTCCGTTGACTCTCAACTTGTTCGCCCTTTTTTCTTAGTGGTTGAATGATTACTTGATCGGAAAGTGTACGCTGATCCTTCAGGGATTGACTCCGTAGCTGGAAGCTATCCAATCTGTTGATCAGCTTCTGAATGGGTTCTTCCCCTCAGCCGTAGCGGCTCTAAAGGAAGGCTACAGCTTTGGAGTGATTACCCGCCATTACTTGAAACTTACGAACGGACTCTTTGACTACTCCTTAAAGCGCATCTCGAAGATAGTTGAACTTGAAGCGCTCTAGTAGTTCCTGTGAGTGCGTTTGCATTGAACAATCTCCAGAGGTTGTCCCAGTCCCAAATATTTGCGTTGACTTTTGGGATGGGTAGGATTGGTAGTTCAACTGATCGAGGCCCATAAACTTGAGCAGGATTATTCGAGAAGGATTGTTGTGCTGCCACTCGAACACGGGGCATACACTGCCATAATTTGAGCGCTCTGATTCTGGCTTGCAAGAGCATCATGAATTCCACTGTTGTGGCTAAACATTCTTCCGCGCGGGTGGAGTACTTGTCGGCTTTGTCCTGCTCCGCTACAGGTGAAAGATCTAGCAGTATAAGGGATTTGGTCAACGTGACGTCCAATTGTGCCATCAGCGATTCGTCGGCTCCCACTGCTTCTTCCAGCTTCCTCACTTGTCTTGGTTCACAGCATGTGAACCTACTCCAAACTCATGCATGTAGAGCTTTCAGTCCTTCTTCTTTGAAGCTTCCTTCAGTATGCTCTAATTTGTTGCTGTAGCGGATGAGCTCGTTTCGCATGTCTGATTGTGCGCTCATCACTGACTTTTCTGCTTGAATTTACTTTGGTGATACTTCTTTCACTTGAAGGGAAAGCAGAACACGTGAATGAGAAAAAAAACCAGTCAGCGTGCAGTAAGTTTGAAAACATTGATTGTTGAGCCCCGCTTGATTGATTGTTCCACTTACTTTCACGAAGGAAAGCCGACAATGTCTAACTGACAAATATTTACCTTGATGAATGCAAACTGAGAGCAAGAGTCTACTACTCGAAACCTTTGCTGAACACGAATCTATTCTAATTGCTGACCTGAGTTCGTGCAGTTGACGATGCACCATATCGCAATGTTCGGGTGTCGCCTTCCCGCCCTTTTGGATATCTGAGATCCAACCACGCGGTTTACTCGAACACTCATATATCGACACCCAACTTGAGATGATCGATCAATTATGACTTAACTTGGAAGGAGAGGAGAACCGAAACACTTCAACCGTTTATACCAGCGAATCAATGAGCTAAAAGAGATGTGCTCAGTGGAGCAAACGAAGAACTGAGTCCTGGTTGTCTGCGTGCTCCTTTTATAGGATTTTCTCGCCAGATCGACGGGATTGTTTTGAATGGTCTGCCATGATCAAATGGCTTTAGCTGACACAAACTGAATGAATCAAACTGAACTTTGTATTAGTAAGCAAACGTGCTATACTTGACAAGAAAAGCACAAATAGCACAAATATAACACGGCATTACTTCAAAAATGCAAGAAACCAAAACTTAAGGTCGCTTCCGCGACGCAGTTGTCAAGTACTCGGTGTTCTTGACGTCTAAAGTGGGCCCGGACTCCGCCAAGCAATTGGCCCAAGCTTGCAACTGCTGTTGCAGTGTGTTCTTGTCTTACAAGCAAGCAGCAGCGTTCAAGACTCTTCTTAGTGAAGATCTCGTGAAATGGTGACAACGAACAGGGGTCGGGAGAACGCAGAGTCTTGATGTGCTCCGATAGTGATGAGGAATCCATTGAACTTTCCCCTGGTAAGCGCACTAGGCTCCCTGGCCTAGAGCTAAGCACCTGCTCAATTAGCTCTTCTGGCACGGCGTGCTTCCGCACACGCTACCATATAACTCCTCACGGGACTCGGTCGAATGCCTTCTCCAAGTCTTAGAAGGGTACAGGCTTTTGTTTCTCACGATGTTTCTCCAGCAGAAGGCGAGCAGGATGTTTGGCATCGATGGTGCTACAGATTTTCATAGTGTGCGAGAGAAGGCAAATTGGACGTAATTCGAGCAATCTGCCAGGCTGCTCTTCTTCTTCAAATCGGGATAGTCACGCCCTGCTGTCATTATTTGGGCGCCTTCCTCTCTTCGACGAATTTGTTGAAGAGCTCACAAGGGAACCGCAACAGGTCGATCTGCCCATTTGCAATGAGGTGCTTGTAGATGGACGTGTCTTGAGCCGCTGAACTCAAATCTGCCCTCGAAATTTGCGGAACGATTCTCTGAAGAGAGTCACGGACCATTTATTCTCTGCACTGTTCGCACATGTTTGGAAGGATAACGGCATACGCCGAGCAGCCGGATAAGCGCATTGCTTCAGAGGAAGGAAGTCTCATTTTGGAGTCCCTGACTCTTGCAAATTTTTGCTTTTCTTTGAAACACTTCATATGAGTTCGAAAAACACTTCTGTTCACCTAATACAATTCTTTAATTAATTGACATGAGAAGGAGCCAATTCTTCATTTCCGGCTACTTGAGAGATTTTGTTACAAGGATATCCTGTTATTAGCTAAAGAACTATAGGTTGGAAAGAAAGTCCTGTCAGTGTTTTTTAGATAGCCTACAGTTTTTGATCTTCGGAGCTCGAACATGACGTAACATGCTAAGGTTGTAGAACATTCTCGAAGCTTTTCCACAAGAGGTATATCAAGGCTCCTGCTCCCTGTGTTTATTTATGATGTCAGTTTCACTGGAGCAGCTTCGAGTGATCATCTTCTATGAGTGGCGCCGCGGCACTGGAGCGACGGCAGCGGCCCGTAACATCAATTGTGCATTGGGGAGGAAACCACCACCGTCAGAACTGTCCACCGTCGGTTCGCTCGCTTCGCGAAAGGAGAGACGATCTTCGAAGACAAACCGCGTCTGGGACGCTCTCGCGGCGTAGAAGATTCCGCCGTTCTCGAACCTGTCAGAGGGGATCCAAAGGCTACCACGCGCAGTATTGCGACACAGGCTGGGATGTAGCCATACAACAGCTCTTAACCGCCTTCAGGCGCTTGGCTACAGAAAAGTCCTCACGCGATGGATACCTCATGCTCTAACAGATGGCACGCGGTATGCCAGGGTGAGCATCTGTCGATCCCTCCTTCTACACCGTAACGCGAAGGAGTTTCTGGAAGATATGGTGACTGGAGATGAAAGCTGGGTCCTCTATGATTCTAACCTACGTCGTGCCATTTGGCTCCTCGAGGAGAAGACCCGCCTACGCAACCCAGATCGAACCTGCACTCCAAGGAGGTCCTCCTCTGCTGCTTCTGGATTCGAAGGGCATGCTGCACCCCGAGCTGTTTTGCGCAAGGGCATACAAGTTACCGCTACCGTTTACGCCGTCCAACTCCAGAAACTCCGCAAGCTCTTGAGAAAAGCGCCGAACGACTTCGGTGCACTCCTTCTCATGATAACGTCAGACCACATGTGCTAAAGAGACCACCGCCAAATTGAGGAGCTAGGCTGGGAAACCGTTCCCCCATCCACCATATTTCCAGACCTACCCCCCTCCGACTACTACTTGTTCCGCTCCCTCAAGGCTTTCCTAGGTAAGAAAACCTTCAGCGAATTTGATATCATCAATCGAGAAGTTGCCTACTTCTTCGACTCGCAGCCTCCTCAGTTCTGGGAGAAGGGGATAGCTGAGTTGCCCATTAGGTGGAGCACTGTAGTGGCTAACAATGGCGATTATATTATTGATTAGTTTTTATTTCATGTTGAGTTAGAAAATAAAAAAGAAAAAATCACAACAGTGACAGGACTTTCTTTCCAACCTATAGTTACGTAAAGAAGTAGTTCATATGGTTCAAAAGACCATGTGGTATTCTTCCACGGAATGATGGAAGCAAATCAAGTCTCCGCAATCAGCTTTGCGAATAAAGAAGCATTTCACACTCAGTACAGTTGCAGTTCTTCACCAGTCCAGTGATAAAGCAATACTGAAGAGGTGATTCGAATGCACCGATGAACCCAGCCGAGTACAAGAACAGATAACCAATTTCTGAATCTAGGTGACAAAATTGAAAATAGGCTTGAGGCAAAAGAATGAAGATAGACCAGAGACAGAATAGAGTCCCGTTGATGTGTTGAAAAAATCATATCAGTGGTTGGGCCTTTGGGAGTACGTTTTATTCGCTGTGCTCATTGAGAAGACTTGTTTGTTTTTATCATTTCGTGGGAGTACCCCATGTGCTCTTAAACCATAAAAAGTTTTGTTTTATCTCTAATGGCTGTTATCGCTACAATACAAGTTTTTAAAAGAAACAGAACTGGAGAATTTGCACGTCCTGTTGTCAAATAATCGAAGAAACAGGTGAATTAGTTTAACAGACGTGTTTCCGAAGCTCATATGAAGTGTTTCGAAGAATAGCGGAAACTTGTAAGAGTGGAGGATTCCACATGTGAACTTGTTTCTCCGCTTAGCCACTACACCACTGTCTGCTCGGCGCATTCAGTCATCCTTTCGAACATGTGCGGACAGTGCAAAGAGTAAATGTTCCGTGACTCCCTTCAGAGAATCGTTCCCCAAATTTTGAGGGCAAATTTCAAGTTAGCGGCCGAAGACGCGCCCATCTACATACATTTTACTACGAATGGCCGGATCGACCTGTTAGGGTCCCCTTGTTAGTCAACCATCCCTCAGAAAAACAGCGTTGTGACTTCCACGAACCACTGCCAACCCGTCGGGATCTGTTGCTTTGCCGTCCTTCATTTTCCGCAGAACCGCTTCTATTTCCTCTACTGTTGATACACTGTTGAGATGCTCTCGAAGTAATCACGCCATCGTTGCGTTACCCACTTTCGGTTCATCAGAAGATGGCTACTCTTGTCATATATGCCAAAAAGATCTTTGTATCTTTGTCTGCGGTGGCGAGATTTGGCGAGTCGGTACAGGTACCGCTCAGCGTCACGCGTCTTCAGTTCCTGCTGACATCATCAAAGGGAGCGGCCTTCACAGCAATCACGAGCGTCTTTGCTGCTCTCCTCACTTCCCGGTACTGCAGGTAGCTGTGAGCCGACTTGCACTCGAGAAACAAAACGATTATTTAGCAGGGAGCAAACGAGCAGAGGAGTGTCTAGGCGTAAAGTAAACTGCAATAAGGCATGCGGCTACGCACCCAAATTTTAATCGATGCGCTTTACCGAGAATAAACAGTATTGGCGGAATAGTCACGGTGGGGAGCTTTTCTGAGATTCCGCGTTCGCTCAGATGACGTCTAGTCAGAGGTTTTTATTTTTTTTTGTTGGATCAGTTGAACCCTATTCTGTCACGCACTACTCCACATACATCATAAGTGTGGGCTTGCTATCAACGAAAAACAATTTTAGAGCGCGCGTTTTTTCCTGCAGCTGGGTTTACTCCTTCTTAAAACAGGAGTGCCTGAGAAACAGGTGACGGTAAGTGTTCTTTCCGATTCCACTCTCATGACAGACGGCTCGCGCTGCAGCAAAAAATGCGTGTGCTACCTCAGAGATCATTGCACACTAAGATTGAACTAAAGCTACTAAAGCTAGGATAAACAGGAGGAAATTTTTCACTAAAGAAAGTGGAACTTCAACCAACTCTAGAGAAATGATACCAATTTCCGGTGTTTCG